ACAATTGGTGGCTGACTAAATACTTTTTTGCCCCACTGTATATGTATGCCTATAATTACAATTTAAATACAATTTTAAAATAAACAGCAGCTGCTAAATTGTTTGAACACAATACATTGAATCTTAAGACTGGGGAGGAGTTTCACAATTATGGGACCATAAGAAAAAATATCTAGTCCATAATATTTGCTCGTTTGATAGTTTGTAGAGAGTAGAACTGAAGGCTCTGTAAATTATATGGGGAATTTAGTGTTTCCCAGATGTTTTGGACTAAACCTCCCATCATCTTGAACCATTGACAATGGGAATTGTATTCCAAAATACTGAGAGGCCACCAGATTGCTGTCCTTGGTATGCAGTTACATAAAGACATTATGATATGTACCTATTTTTTTCTCCATTTCCTGACAAGTGTAGAATGGAATTTGTCTTTTTCTCAAGACTACCAATCCAAGAGTATTTCAGTCTGACTCACTGGGCCAATGTGAGGTAGGAGAGGCTGAATTCTGTCCCCCCCGCTGTAAAATCAGATCTAACTTTGCCTTCATTTTGGCTGCCTTTACTATCATTATTTAATTTAATTCATTTAATTCATTTTTACCTGGAAGGAAAGAGGATTAAAGAGATGGTCCCCTGGTGGGCACCTGAATTGCCTCCTAGGAGGAGCGAGGCCCTTTTCCTGTCTGCGCAAGGAAAGGGCTTTGAGAGCCAAGTTAATTCTGAGGCGAATTGTGCGTAGATGGAGAACAGAGATGGCCCATGGAGGCTGCCTTCCGTGTGGCAGCTCGGCCTGAAGCAAGGCGTGGATAAGGCCACAAGTGGGCTGGGCCGCCTATTTTGTGCCACGCCTTTTCTTTGCCTCCAGCATCTTCTCTGTCTCAAGCATCAGGCAGCAAAGAAGGGACGGTTAACTCTTACCAAGCCAGTTGCCGAGGACTTTGAAGAAGGCTGAGGGCCACACGCTGTCCACTCTGAGATAGGCTGAGGACACCTGGGCTCAAATTCCTCCCCTCTTGAATTTTATTTGGGTAACTTTGTCTGAAGGGTAGCCCCCAATTATTTTCTGTCCGCGAGGAAGACCAAGTGAGAGCCAGTTTGGGGTCGTGGTTAAGGCCTAGAAACCAGGAGAGTGAGTTCGAGTCCTGCCTTAGGCACGAAAAACCAGCTGGGTGACTTTGGGCCAGTCCCTCTCTCTTAGCCCTACTCTCCTCACAGGGTTGTTGTTGTGGGGAAAATAATACATCCTTTCTCTAGAAGAAAATGATATATAGAAAATGGGCAAATGCTGACAGATAGCTCAGAGCACACCAGGCCAGAGGTGCAGTGCTTGCTTTAGAATTGACAAAGCATAATTTCAGATTTGTTTTTGCTTTTGTTATATATTCAGTGAAATGACAGGGATGATTGCAAATATTAAAGTAGCTTCCCTTTAAAAAAAATCCCAGGGAGTGGAGATTTGGAAGCGGGGAGAGAGGTGCTGAGGTGCTACTGAACCTTTTGATTTGCAGGAAATAGTAATGATCTCTTGACTTCAGGGTGATCTCCATCTGAATGAGTTAGGATAGAGTGGGTTGAAACAGGCAAAATCACTTCAAGACAGTTCTGTTTGTTTCCAAGGCTATAATGGAATGGATATTGAATCCTTCCTTTATTAGAGTTTCAAGTAATCAAACTTACCATTAAAAAAAAGAAGAGAAATGAGAGAATTTTCAGCCTCCTCCCTGCTCCCACTTCTTGAAAAGAAAGGGAGAGGTACAACATTGAATGCAAATCCATGTTAGCTCATTCCGCTCGCTTGCTTGCTTGCCCTTCTGAGTTTCTTCCCCTCCCCTGAAATCTTTTATAGGAAAGCTGCCGAAAGGTGACAAAATCCGTGGAGGATGCTGAAATTAAGACCAGTGTGCTGAAAAAAAATTCAGCCCTCTTGGAGGTGAGGGAGAAGATTTGAGGCTTGCAGGAATGTGGGGGTGGTTTATTCCCTACTGGGGTCAACGGTGCAAGTAATTCACAACATGTGGAAAGGTAACAAAGCTGCTACAAGCTACTAGGTTGATGGAGAACAGTTGCCAGAAGGTAAGATTATAAACTGAATCTGAAATCTTGGGTGATTGCACTTGAGGAAGACAGACTGTATTCCTCGAGCATGAGCAGAGGCTGCCTTTGAAATTCACATTTCTAGATGTTCGGGTAGCAAAATGGAGAAACAAACAATTTTCTGTGGAAATTTTTAAAGATCAGATTGCAGGGCTGGGTTGGTCATCTGACCAGCTCTCTGCACTTGCCACAAGATACCCATTCTCCATCTGTCCCTTTTAAGCCTTTCCCTCTTTTCGTCTTTGTCAAGGAATTTTTTTAGCAATAATATGAAAGTGGTTTGTTGTTACCTTTTCCGGGATTTTGCTTTTAAATTCTCAGTCTAGCCAAGCATGATGTAATGGTTAGGATTTGGACTGGCGCTGAAGAGACTGAAGTTCTAGTCCCACTGTCACCTGTAGAAGCTCACTGGGTGACTTTGGGCCAGTCATTCCCTCTCTCAGCCCAGCCCACCTCTCAGGGGTGTGGTCGGGAGAAACCAGAAGAGGGAGAGTTAAGCTTGCCAGCTTGAGTTTCTGAATGAAAGTTGGGATAGAAGTCTAATAAATCATCATTGTTATTTATGATTGTAAGATTTCCTAGTGGACTATGGGGTATCACAGGTTTGACTCTCCTTATCTATCAAGATTAGCCAAGTCCAGCTAGTTGCTGCCCTCTGTAGATTCCTAGATGAAAGGCAGGAGGAGGAGGAGGAGGAGGAGGAGGAGGAGGAGGAGGAGGAGGATAGAATGATAGAATGATAGTGCAAGCTATCAGTCTTGCCTTTCCTCCTAGGTTTCTGGCAGAAGATCTTTTCATTTTTTATCTGCTTCAAATGCTTCAGCCATTTGCCCCTTTCACTTACCATCTAATTAAATTGAAAAGGATGGGGGTTGTTTGGGTGACATCACCAACACTCCCTAACAAAGTCACACAAAGCTGCTTGCTTCTGTGGACCTGCCGAGTTGTGTTTTCTAAAGCTCAATAGTGAAGTCAAGGATATCTTTGAACTGAACATCATGTTCCTCCTCTTGCTTTAGGCTGATTGCAGCACATCTGCATACCACATCTGCAGCCAAGCCAAGGTGATCCAATTGTTCCAGTAGCCCATTAGGCAGGGAGGAAAGGAAAGAAAGAAATTGAACAATATTGAAGACCAGGGTGTCTGCAGGGAGTGGGTGGGCATCCAATAACTCAAGATAATTGGAGTCACATGATTGGAGTCCTCCCCAATTTTAAGCTTGTTGCAATGCACATAATAAAATGGACAGGATTTAATCAAGTGATCATAGCTGCCATGCTGACTTCTTTGACCCACGCCCTGATGCCCCTGTGTGAAGAAAATGGTGTTGGGACCAACACACAAACACTCAGGACTTCCAGCAAGTTGCTGAGGATAGCTTTGTTCTATTTTAGCCTTTCCCCAGGCTGGCATCCTCCAGATGTGCTTGGTTACAACAACTAGAGTTCCTAGCTATCCCAGCTAGGTTGGTTAGGAATTATGGGAATTGTAATCTAATTCATCCGGAGGATACCAGGCTGGAGGAAGGTATTTTGTTGCCTCTCTTGGATTTGTATCACAGGTGCTCCCTGTTATTCTCTTTGTGGAGAGAGAATGATAGAGTTTTAATGCCTTTACAGAAGGGAAAAGAAAGAACAGCATATAAATATACTTAATACCCCCCAAATTAATGTTATTCTTTCCTTCTCACTTCCCCCACTCTGTATAGGAAAAGCTGCATTACTTGCAGCGACAGGTTCAAGCAGAAGACCTTGGTCGGCAAGAGCACGAGTGGCAGTTGCTGGAACAGTGGGTGGCAAGTGGGGTCTCCAAACAACTTTTGGACTCAGCAGGCAGCACGGTGGCAACATCCCCGAGGTCGGCCATCTGTGAGGAGAGTGAAGTCCAGAAGTCCACTGCTGTTATCTTGGCATCCATCAACAGCCTGCGAGGGGCACTGGAAAGTGGGCAGTTGCGAGCAGGCCTTGGAGATGAGGGGGGCATAGATGGAAAGCCAACCATGGCTTCCACCTTGGCTTGCCTTCCTTTGCTGGAAGAGATCAGGTACTGTGAGGTTGGAGTAGGACTGGGAGAACCCTGGTTTTGCTAGAGGCACCAACCCATCTTCCAACCTGGTCTCTTTTCATTACACCTTACTCTAGGAAATGTATGCTGGAGCTGTCCGGGCAGGCTCAGCGAGATGAGCTGACCCAGAAGGAAGTGTTGCGGCTGCTGGCCCAGCTGGGGGTCCGCTTGGAGGGAGCACTTCCCCAGTGGGAAAGGACACATGTGGAACAAGGCCAGACACTCAGGATGCTGCGGGAAGAAATGGATGAAGTCTCTGCCACGTATGTGCCTTCCTGAGCAAACAGCCTCCCCTTTCTTGAAGCTGGACAGCCATGGCCCTGCTCCAATGGCCAGCTCTCTTTAGCTGCTTCTGAGTTGTGGCCTCATATTGTCAGTGAAAGAAAAACCAGATTTAAGAGTCAAGAACAATCCATTGTTTCCTATTCCCTGGAGCCAAGATTTCCAGTAGAACCAGAGACCTAGTTAGATAACGATAGCTAGTCTTCCTAGTGGCAGGGTTTGCTCCCTACATACTTATGGCAGGGCTTCCCCCTGCCCCCACTAGAGTGTGGGTTTAAAAAGGCTGACTACAATTCCCATGATCCTCACTCTATATTGACAGTTACAGGTATTGTAGCCCTACACTGCTGTAGGGAAGATTAGTATATTACTTGTTAGGCCCTTGTTGCCCTGGAATTTAGATGGCTGATCACTGTCACTTTCCTTTTAAAAAGTGAAGAGTTTTCTAGTCTTTGTGGATCTTCCAAGGGCAAGCTTCATTAACCTGCCTATGGTGTCTTGTCTGCCTTTTTCCTCAGCAGGTCTTCTTTTGCATCAGTACACCTAATTCTACCATAATCCCTCCCTTTGATTTCTTGCACCATCTGGTACTTTTTAAACAAACGTCAGATTCCGAATAAAACAGGGTTGGTGGAGGTCCTCCAGTGTAGTTTTGAGAAAGGGCTCCAACTGAAGATGAAATCCCACATCAAGCCCAACCCCCACCCCCTTGTAATGAAGAGTAAGAGATAAGAAAATGCAGAGGGACAGGGAGTCTTCAGCTTCCCCTGGAACACAAACACCCCAAAACCAGGAAGTCACTATCCTTCTGCCAACCTATTACATGAGAGGACTGCAAAAGGAGGCAGCAGTTGCTCCAATCTCAAGACCTGCCCCAGAGATAAGAAACCCGCCTGTTCTACATGGCAGGCAAACTTCTCTCTCTCGGAGCTGTTGCAGGGCTTTGGATTTGGAAATTGTGGAACCTTGCCATTTCACTTACGGCTGCCTTCTTTTCCTTTTCTTCTCATGCCAGAGCAAAGCGGACATCGGTGTCTCTCACTCAGCTCCGTGCAGACCTGGATGGGCTCTGGCAGGTGAAACCACTCCTGGAAGATGTATCCCGACATCTTGCAACACTCAGGAACATGGAAGCACCCGATCGGCCTCCTTCCAGTTGTGCTAGGTGTTCCAGGTGCCTCATTCAAACCTTGGGGTCAAAACTAAGGAATACAGGCCAACCTGACAGTGAGAACCAAAAGGCTAGGCTCAGGAAGGGTGTGGAGGTTAGGGCAAAATTAGGTCTGATTTCCCTGATTTCACATAGGCCAAAGTCATGCAGCCTCTAAGCGGTGATTTGGTTAATCGTAATTTATTAAATAAAGCATTGTTGGCTACATTCACACATGTTGAGCCATAAGCCAAAGGTGGGCCTGGACTGCTGCTTGACACCCCCCCCCCCCCCCCCCCCCCCCCCCGGGG